TGATGATTTTGACTTTGACTTTTGACTTAGACTTTAACTTGACTTAACGGTTTATCTCTAACAGTCACTGAATCAGTTATAACATCGTTTATTTTTATTTCGCTCCATAATGAAGTTGATACCGCAAAGGGTATCAACACGTGGGGCGATAGGAGGCATTCAACTTAATCACTGATAAAATAAGGAATGTTGATGGAACTGTTTGTATGAGGTTATACTATCTCTTTTGTCGCGGAGAACCTAACGGGTAACCGGGGATCCGGCTCGACGTGCAGGAGAAGGAACGGGGTGGTTTTTAGTCAGTAAGAGTCTGACACTCCCTCCCGCCTCACCCAGGCGGGAGCAGTCATTCGATGATTTTCCCCCCTTAAAAAAAAAAAAAAGACGGACATTAAAATAAAATTTAGGAAACTACCGTATTATGATGTAAGATTACTCACTATAGTAATTATGACTACACAATTTAATATTAAACAAGCTTACGTCACTTCAGTAGGCACCTACTTAGGTCGCTCACACCTGCTAACATGTCACTAATCCACTACTCTACCTAACCCCAGCTGTAGCGTCCAGCGTGAAGCTCCGACAATTAATCACACACCTAGACTTCAAGCTGAACAACCAGTATAAACTGACCGGCAAACGTGCTGAAAGAGTATACGAAGCAAGTCCATGATACACTGGATATCTAAACTCCAATGTGTGCGAATCCAGTATAAACTGACCGACGAATGTGTAGAAAGAGTATAAAATGCGAGTTCATTATATACTGGTTTTGTGTAGTTCGATAAGCCGTGTTTACCAGCGTGATGGATGGCTACAGGTAACTAGGGTACTTATATTAATTACTGACCTTCTTATTTTGGGGTTACGGTCCATTAAGTGGGATACACAATAATTAATTCTTATTTTGTTATTTACATTTTGTCTAAGGAATTAAAAATGTAAATAAATATAGTTAGTCGATAAAACTGTATTTATTGTGGGATTTTTTTTAAGGGGGGAAAATCATCGAATGACTGCTCCCGCCTGGGTGAGGCGGGAGGGATTGTCAGACTCTTACTGACTAAAAACCACCCCGTTCCTTCTCCTGCACGTCGAGCCGGAGCCCCGGTTACCCGTTAGGTTCTCCACGACTCCGAATCGGCGCGAATAATGTTCGTCTGGTACATTAATTTAAAACTTTAGACACGTATTTTTTCTTTTCTCACAAAATTAAATACTTTCGACGATGTATTAATTTGAAATATCGTGTGACGTCACAGCGTGTCATATTTTGTAGCACGTTATGACGTAACGACCTCCCACTCGTAAACTTAGCGCCATTTTATCTAAGTAGGTATTGCAACTTAATACGAGAAAATAAAAAAAAATACGTGTCTAATATTTTTTCATTATCTAACTGACGGACTAATTAGATTTTTAATTTTAATACCCTGGAAACTACCCAATTATGTTCATGCTAATATTATAGAGGTATAATATACTTATGGTCTTCATTAACTCGTCGAGTACTGGTTTTGTAGACACAATTATAGAACAATAGGTTGCGGGCACCGGTGACCGCTTGGTGTTTGACAGTTTAAGTGATATTTACTTAATTTTTCTATTTCTTTAATCACCTATGTTGTAATCTGATGGTATTGTTATGTCTATACTATAAAACAAAGTTGTTATCCGCCGTCTGTCTGTCCCTATGTATGTTTAGGTCTTTAAAACTACGCAACAGATTTTGATGCGGTCTTTTTTAATAAATAGATTGATAGATGTATAATACATGTATATTAGACCCGTGCGAAGCCGGGGCGGGTTGCTAGTATATATTTATGTAATATCTGGTCTATTGTGTGTAACTGTGATATCTGTCTGAACTGGAATTTCCCACATTATTTTAACAGAGTCATTTTCTTTGACTTGCGGCTGGGTGAGCTGCTGCCTTCCACCATAGATCAATACATAGTATAAAACAAAGTCGCTTTCGCTGTATGTCCGTATGTATGCTTAGATCTTTAAATAATAATAATAATAATAATTTATTTATTTATTCAGATAATACAATCCATATGGTTAGTAAAGATATCAACAACTTATAAACTAGTATTAGTACATCACACATCTTCATATAAAATTAAAATAATTAGTCATAAGTAATATAATGATAATATAGTAACAATACTGCTGACTTTCACTACTTCTGGGCACGGTTTGTAGGCAACACTTGCGTCTTCGTCCAGTGTTTCAGCATAAGGCCATCAGTCCTATCCGCCACGGTCATCAGAAGACTGTTGGCGCTGCCCCGCACCCGCTGCATCAGGGAGGCGACACGCTTTCTTATGATTGCGTAGAAATCATCTATGCGTGCATCAGCGAACATCCCCGATGCGCTACAGTGTCGAGGCAGCCCCAACAGTGCCCTGTACGCGTTATTATATTGGACTCGCAAGGCGCTGTAAGCCCTCTGCGTGTAGTCGACCCATAGGCTGCAGGTATAAAAAGATTGACAATATGCCCTGAAAAGTGTAGCCTTCACATCATGAGAACACTTTGCAAACCTGCGGATCAACATATTGCTCCTGACTGACAGCGCCCTACGTTCCCTCTCCATGTCTTTACTATCAGTCTGTGTGTCAGTGACCCAGTGCCCCAGATACTTGAAAGAAGTGACCCATTCCAAAGCAGTCCCCGCAAGTGCAACGGGTGGTATATCATAAGTTTTAGTACCTGCCCTGAAGAGTAGACACTCGCTCTTCCTTGCATTATATCTAAGACCCTGGGCTTCGGCATATCGCTCACACACCGACAACAGCGTCCTGAGGGCGCTGATCGATGGGGCCAGAAGCACCATATCATCCGCATAACTAATGTTGTTGACAAGTGTTCCGTTGATTGAACAACCTACCATAGTGCTGCAGAGCTCACGAACCAGCCCATCCACATATAGACAGAAGAGCTTCGGCGAAGTCAGGCCGCCCTGCCTCACCCCACACTCCAGTCCATACGGATCCGATAGCGAACCCGCCCACCTCACCATATTGGTTTGATGGCCATACCAAAACTTGAACAACTCAATAACCTCACCCGGAACCGTCGTCTCACCATACAGCTTCTTCCACAAAACATCATAGGACACCAGGTCGAAGGCCCTCGATAAATCCAGAAAACAGGCATACACAGGAGTCTTCCTATCCGTGTAGTATCGAACTGTGTGCTTGAGACAAACAACAGCGTGTTCAGTGGACAGACCAGCCCTAAATCCAAACTGGGCGTCGTGAAGCGACAGATGTTTATTCAACTGTTTATCCAGCACACCGTCCAACACCTTCGCAATTACTGTAGCCAACGATATTGGTCTATAGTTATTTATGTCAGAAGCATCTCCAGTTCTATTTTTAATGATGGGCACCACCAGGGTCTTCATTAGGTCGTGCGGAAGGTACGTGTGTGAGAAACATAAATTAAAAAATAAAGCAAGTACCCTGGGCATATGAACACCTGCATTTTGTAAATGCTCGATGCTCAGAGAATCGTGCCCAGGTGATTTCCCACGCTTCATGTCTCTCAACACTGCCGCGATTTCCTTAGCTGAAACCCTTACCAACGACCCCATCGCAGAATCCCTAGTTGTCGCGGCCCCTCCCGCTGCACCTAACGGGGACCTCACCTCAAAATGGTTTTTAAATAGGTTTGAGATGGCTACTGGCTCGCTAACACCCTCAACACTCGCAGGAAGGCTCGACCTGTACCTCAGCTGGTTCGTGTGCTTCCAAAACTTACCGAAGTCTCTCTTGTCATGACAGGATGCTATAATGTTCATTTTAATTTGTTCCCTATTTTCCTGACACCACTTCAGTTTACTTTTAAATACTCGTTTCGTTTCTCTCATGTTACAATAAACAGAACCGAATTTAGGTTCACCACATAGCACCCAATTCTGATAAGCACGTCGAGCCTCCAAATGCGCCTGTCGAACATGTTTATTCCACCCTATTACTGGCTTTCTTTTGTTTCGTGCCGGCCCAGAGTAGCTAATTAATGATGCGTTACTTAATATGTCAACAATTTTGGAATACATTTTATCAATAACGCATCTATGGTTTGCAATAGTACATAAATTGTCACAACAGTTAATAAATTCAGAGGGAAAATCAATTTCTTTTAAACTTGTCGCACATAACTTTTTATACATTTCAATTTGTTTCAAGTCTCTTTCCCCCCACACAATTTTATTTCGTTCGCTAACGTGACAGCTGTATTTAACCTTAAGTACGTTAAAGTTACAGGTAACTTGTAATGGAATATGATCCGACCAATAAACACCATGCAATATCTTTACGTTAACTACCGCTGTCCACGCCGCTTCAGATACAATACAGTGATCTAACCAGCTATGTGATCCAAAAATGTCACTTACGTATGTATATGAGTCCGATGAAAGTCCTAATATTTCAACATCCGCACAGCGCCACTTCTGTTCAACGCAAAAGTCAGACAGTTCAACGCCGAACCGCTCACCGGGCTGTGCGTTAAAATCGCCCAACATAAACACACAGTCCACATTAGACTCCTCCACTATAGCCGCCATTTCGCCTAAACACTCCGTAAACTCGGCAAGATTGTCAACTGAGTCCGTCGGCATGTACACCGAGAACACCAACATCGATCTGTCCCGACACGACACTTTTATTGCCGATATACGCGCACTAACACACTGTATGACCGACACTGCTTGAAATATGTTTTTCCGCCAAAGTAAAGCGACGCCTCCATACGGCCGTCCCCGCAGCACACCGGCACTGGTGTCTATCGCAGACTTTCCTGTATACTCGAACTCATCATCAATCGTGCCCAGGACCGGTATATCTTGCGGCTGCAACCACGTCTCCTGCAACGCTATTATGTCAGCTGATCGGCATAGACTTCTTACGCACTCCATTGAGCGGGATACCGACCTACAATTGAAACTAACAAGTTTCGTGTTGGTATTGATCATGTTGTTTATGTTACTGTTGTTGTGGTGTACATCCATCGTCATTTAATGTCATGTCATTATGTATTATTCTATTTCCTCTGTTTTTGTCATAAGTTTTTCTATTAAAATAGATAAACTTTCTGAACTGAATACCTTCTGGCCACAAATTATCATTAAGAAACATTGCTAATTTAGTGTGTGGTACAAATATCTTGTACGCCGCATAGCGTTTTTGTTTCGCCATATTAATTTTCTTCAAAGTAACAGTTGTATTCGTCTTCTGTTGTATGTACTCAATAATATCTATTGGCCTAGTAGCTATATCCACTCTGTTTATAAAGAGAGGAATTTCCAATTCTGCTGCTCTAAACTTAACGTCTGGTTTTATGATAGCCTTGCCTTCGCATCCCTGCAGCTGATTTCTTGACCTCTTTTTTTGCACGGTTTGCCATTCTTCAGCTACTTTATATCTTTTCCAGTTTTCCGCTGGTGTTAAAATTTCCGCTAACGTTTTTTGCTTGCACCACTCACTATCCGATGCACCCGTAGGCCGCTGTGACTCACTCGATGCGCGCGCGTTTCGGTCTCGTTCGGGTACAATCGTCATGTTTTCATCACATTGCTTTGGTTCGCTAACGAGTGCGAGCGAACACGCGATTCCAGAAACACATATGGGTGAGGGAGATGCATGTACCTCACCGGCAGATGGACTAGAGTTGTCACTCTCGTTGGTAGTCGGTACTTGCATTTTTTCTATAACAGGCGGTAGACCTACCGGCCCACTGTCGAAACAAAAGCTGTCAATTCCACTTCCACCGCCTCTTCTGCGGTTAATATTCATATCAAAATTATTAACGATTGAAGTCTGCTTTAAATTTTGCAATTCATTTCGAATTTCACTTAATTGTTTCTCAGTGACAAATGTATCCTTCATGATTCTTATTTCATTTTGGATAGTCAATATTTCTTTTAGCGTCCTGGTTGCGTCAATATGATCAAATGTCACAGGGGGGAGTTTATGCAAATCTTTTGCTACGAATATTGGCACATGCTCAGGATCCGTTTGCTTGAAAAGCGATATCATATCAAATATATTTCGCTGTGATTTACCAGTTTTCTTCCTAGATATTTTACGATGCCGCGTTGATACTGACGAAAACAGTAAATTCTTGCTTGTTTCAATGTCCTCCTCCGAGAAGGCGGTAACACACAGCCTCACTAGTCCTTCTTCGTCCATCACGTCCACTTTATTCTGTATAAATGCCAACAGTTCACATATCACAATATTACATGTCGTACACTTAATTACTTTCGTAGTCGTCGCGCCCGGGACTGAGTCACCGACACTATCCATAATGTACGTCCAACCTCTAGCGCGATTGACGGTAGACTGAAACTACGCAACGGGTTTTGATGCGGTTTTTTTTAATAGGTAGAGTGATTCTTAAGGAAGGTTTGTATGTATAATACATGCATATTGCACCCGTGCGAAGCAGGGGCGGGTCGCTAGTATATTATAAATATACTGTATGTACCAAACAATATTATAGAAATGTTAACTAGATGTAAACATGAATTTGTATACCGTAAGGCAAAATGTACCGGGACTATCCGGGAAGATAAGCTATTATAACAACATATATTATTAGCAAAGCATTTTTGGCAAACAAATTATTTCTGATTTCCGATTTCTGACCTATCTTTTCGGGCTCATGATCGAACATGTTAGTAAAGAGGACCACGGAAGCCCAGATCAACAATAATCCTAAAATTCCTAATCCCCAAAAAGACCGGTAACGCACTTGTAACGCCTTTGGTGTTTCGGGTGTCTATGGACGACGCCGATTGGTTACCATCGGGTGATCCGTCTGCTCGTTTATTGTACTATACCATAAAAAAGAATTATCCAATTTTGTCGTGTATTTCAGGATTAAATGAATGTGCGTAGACGTAATTTAGTGATTCACTTTTATTTAAGAATCCTTGAAATTTGGCAGGTATAGATTAGGCTCTAAAATTGCACATAGACTTTCTACACTGGGTGACGCGGGCAGAGTAACATTTATAGGGGAATTTCTATAATATATTTTCAGTCTGCCCGTTGCATGAGACTCGTATCATAACTAGTTAAAATAAGCGTCACATTCACAAATTCCCGTCTACTTCGCCGGGGATTATTAACATTATCTAAACAAAGAGTTGAACATTTATAAAACAGAAATATTCCCAGTAGTTACTAGTACAACTTTACATTGCGTCGTCTACTTCAGACAGCCTACAGATACAGCACCATAACTCATGTAGCTGACTGCGCGGATTATCTCATTACACGTCATTTGTTGCGCAGTGTCGCGCACATTTGTCATTGCGTTATGTCCAGACCAGCGACTGAGGACTGTTGTTATGTAATGTTATTCCTGTTGCTATAGACTAGAATATTTTGTCGCTTTAATCTTCCTGCGGGGTCGTAAGAACCGATTTTTGATATATAGTCTAGTCTTCATAGCTAAAATAGTTTGATACTAGTCTTTTTTTGAGCAAGGAAATTCATGTAATGACTTCTCCCACCTTGGGTGAGGCGAGAGAGCGTCAGAATTGGGCCTCCACACTTTTTTTTAAGGGGGGAAAATCATCGAATGACTGCTCCCGCCTGATTGAGGTGGGAGGGAGTCTCTTACTGACTAAAAACTACCCCGTTCCTTCTCGTGCACGTCGAGCCGGAGCCCCGGTTACCCGTTAGGTTCTCCGCGACTCCGAATCGGCATCGGCCCTGTTGGGCCCCATCTGTGGTGGTCTGATGGCTCTTTGAGGCGCGCGCGGAACGCGACGCGCCGCACGCTCGGGTCTGTTTCTGGTCGGACAAGGAGCCACCCATGCTCGCCGTCCGCAGGCCCGCGCTTACGGTGGCCGGAGATCGTCCCGCGATCCCCGACGCCCGGTGTGTCCTTCGCGATGGCTGGGTTGCGAGGAGGCAGCGCTTCGCTGCCTCACGCGTCCCGCCTCCTTCTTAGCTAGCATGACTGCTTCGAAAAAGGAGGAGACGGCATCCCAGTCCCCGTCGTTCCGCATCATGACCTGCACTGCACTAGACCCGGACGCTTGCCACAACTGGACCAATAAGGTAGAAAATAACAGGGATCATTTTAAATGTTTTATCCCTCGGCCTCAGCGGGTAAAACGGCTGTTATTTTTGTCAAACCGCTTCAAAATATAAAATCAAAATACGAGTCGTAAAAATGTAAAATTGCATACCTACCAAATAAAAAAGTTACAAAACATTCCCGCGCGCAGATGACAGCTCAGCTACCACAGATTACGAAACTTCTCTTATTTGGCGGGAAACGCGACCAGAGACTAATAGCCAGCCATTTAAATTATTTTCACGTACGGACAAACTTTTACATTTTTCTGAAGGGAAAAATGCGATTCATTTTAATTATTATCTTTTGATGACGGCACCTGGCTTTTGTGGGCATTCATTTTGGTAATTTGTGAGTTTTGAACACATTTTTTATTGTTGTCCTGCGGGGCGGATATTAAATAGTAATGTGTGTAGAATTATAATGGGTCGTACTACCCAGTACGAGCTTCTAGTCTGTGTGACTTGTTTGCAAAAAGATATCATTAATTTTATGGAATGGTGTTTTTTTATGGAAATAGGAGGCAAAAGAGCAGACGGATCACCTGATGGTAAGCGATCAGCCCCGCCCAAGGACACCCGCGGCACCAGAGGAGTCACATTTACATTTCCGGCATTTTAAAAAGGAGTACGCTCTTTTCTTGAAGGTTTGAAGGTCGTATCGGTTCGGAAATACCGCCGACGACAGATCATTCTACAGTTTTGCTGTGCGAGGCAGAATGCTACGTGAGAAGCGCACAGTTGTGGCCTGCCGACCATGTATATGATGAAGATGGATATTATGCTCTCGTGAGTTTTTTACATTATCGTATACCTATTACAGGTTTTTCTTATCGTCGTACTTTTTATCTCGAAAATATAAGCTAGATATAGGTATAGCACAATATGCCACATACATATTGTACTTGCATGCATTTTTTACAAATTATTTTAAGAGCCTACTGCCTTATAAATACCGGGTACAATTCCAAACTACGTGCTATTTTCGGAAATCTGGGAACAAAAAGCAAAAAGTCTTCAGACGAATAACCTCTCCGAAAGTTTTTCAAAACTTAACAATAAAAATATTTTGCCCGACCCGGCAATCAAACCCAAGACATATTGCTTGCTCTTGCTCGTTAGTCACACGTTGTAATATTGCCCCAATAAAATCACCTTAGCGTAAAGTTTCTACAAGACTAGTCAATAAATGTCGCTCGATTTCATCATAGTCCGCCATTACGACTCCTAACAGCTGTCTTTGACATTTGAGCAATTTTTCCCGCCACAACTCAAGTGTTGCCAGCCGTGAAATACAATGTCACTGGCATAAACACGGATGGAAAAATTGTTTGTTTTTATTTTTGAGTTGTAGTTGTGATTTTGGTTGTTTGAATTCAAGCGTGTGCGTTTGAGACATGTTTGAGACATCGGGTTCGGGCGAATAAAGTGAGAGTGTGATCATCGCGCAAAAAAAAAAATATTAATGGAGTTTTTTTTATCCAAGTACAATCCAGTGCGCACTACCTACTACGTACTACCTACAAATGTGTTAAAAACTTAAGTCTCGGAATGGTTTTGTTTAACTACGGATGCTGCGAATCTTTATTCGATCTTTTGCCAAATTCAACTGTCATTTCTGTGTGAATGAAGCACCGGTGCTGTCTGGTGAATACCAGTTATGTCTGGTGAGTACCAATACATTATGTGAATACATAATGTGATGTTGCAGTCAGGTTTACCCTATTTCTGTTAAATGTGCAGTTTTTTAATCGTCTAATATGACACCCACGGGCCGAGTACCTAGAGATTTAGACTTATGTAGCTATAAGCTATTCTACCTTTTTTCTTAAGCGATAGATAGTGTCAGACTCGTGACTAAACACCACCACGTTCCTGCCTCAAGCCAGGCGGCGGCAACGAACAAGGTTGCGCAGCTTCGGAACTATTCTACCCTGTCATGTCATGTCATACACATTTATCAACAAGCATGAAAATCGCAGTATTAAAATCTAATTAAAAAAAGTTGTCGTTGTCGTTGGCTCCCCCCATAATGACCGGTGCCCGCATTGTTTAGAAAAAGTATAACAAATATGTCTGCCAAGCGACACGTGACGCGCGTACTAATGGCGGGAATATCATTTTTGACATCTTTCTGACATATTTTTCGTTTGTTGTGTTTTTCAATTTGGTTTTAACGTTTGGAAAAGTATTTTACTTATATGTGAGTCAGTGATGAAATTGAAGTACCTATATAACAGTGATTTTTATGAAATATCATTAATTGTGACTGCCTCGTTGGCCGAGTGGTCGCAAGTGTGACTGCCGGGCGAGGGGTCTCGGGTTCTATTCTCTGGTCGGGCAAAGTAATAAGTACTGGGTTGTTAAAAATTCTCAGTAGTAGCACGGAGTCTGGAATTGTGCCCGGTATATGGCAATAGGCTCACCCCCTATTACATGGGACTCGTAACATAAATAGTGAAAAGTGGGTGTTACCTTTGTGTGCACCTCTGCAATGCAGCAGAAATGGTCAAAGACACTTTGAAGTGGTACCTAAATTCATGTAATTTTTATGTGAATGCTTTTAGGAAAGCCGATTATTAACCTAAAAACATTAATCTTATTTATAAATAAATAAGGCTTTATAGTGACTTATTTAAGGTAAGTTCACAAACAAACAAATAGTACACAGTATTGACTTGTGCGGGAATCGAGCCCGCGACACGTTACTATCACTTTAGTTACTGGAACACTGCGCCATCGCCAACTGTGTAGACACAAATTCAGTCCAGCCGTGTCCTCTTCATGCTTATAACGCTATACGGCGTCTACGGCGTAGTTACGTAGCGCAGGAACGTAACATGTGCTACGACCGTTACGAGCTACGACCGCGTAGTCATTGTAGTATTCAGGTTTTGAAGTAGCGAACTCGAAGCTCAGTTTCTTTCAATAAAATTATACATTATACTTTGTCCATTTTTGTTTTAATTAAGTAAGGTTCTAGGTAACTATTATGAAATGAGACCGATACGAGATTGTGGCCGCAAATCCATTTTAAGCTTAAGTGTTATCGTATTTTTCGGTTTTCGAAATAAGTATTCAGCAAGTAATAGTACAGAGGTTGACCTATTATGCCCTGTATTTGTGTATTGTGAGCGCAAGTCACTTACTTACAGATACAAAACAATTTAATAAGTATGTATGTGTGAACTGAGGGACCACATTTCAGTCGTTTT